TCACTCACATTCCTTAAGCCACACCGTCATCTGCCCCCAACCATTCGCCTTGGTCCTCTCCCAGATGCCACTCCTGCTCACAGTCCTGTTACACATTACATGTTACCTCAGGACCCCAACCCAATTTCAGGGACCAACTTCTGACCCTGCAATGTTGGTCTGAAGCCCTCCAGGCCCCCACTCTACAATCCCAGTCCCATGTGCCTGCACAAGTGTCCCATAGAGTAGGCCCAACTACCAATATTGAAATCGGCAGGAGCGAACTCCCTCATGGAACTGAAGGTAGCAGAAAGATCGAATTCTTTATCAGCTCGGGCTCACAGCAGATCTCTCCTGGTCCACATCAGGGGAGGACCTTGTCAAGAGAATCTGTTAATCCTAATTATAAATATTCATCAAAATGGGCTTCTTAGCTAATATGAAACCAGCACATTTCCCACAAATAATTGGCACGGCTCTGCCTCTTTTGTGAAATAATTTTTATTGTCGTGGAGGGTCATAAAAATGGGGTGACAGGAGGTGGGTTTCACTAAGTGCCCCAATATGCCTGATGACCTAGTATCCAACTTTCGCTTTTGCAGTGACTGCTCTTTCTGTGTTACAGAACTTGCCAAAAAACCCCTCACTGCATTGCCCTTTATCTCTTCCTCCACAGACTCCAGCAAACTTTGCCCTTCTGTGTACACATTTTTACATCCTTTTATTGTTTTTTGCTCGTTCTTTTTAAAGCCCTATGCAGCACCTGCAGGAGAACTCAAACTTTCTATTTTCTCTCTTATTGCTCAGCCTCCAAGACCCCAATTTCACAGATTGATGTCCCTCCAGTGCCACCCAGTCCCCCTTCCCACTGCTCACTGAGTTGCTGCCACACCTCAGATACCAGTTGGAGTTCCCCATCAGATGACATCCCTGTAGGCACCTTGAGCCTGGGTATGGATCTCTTAGGGTAGTGCCCGGGTGACTTTCCTGGCCTTGCTGGTGTGGCAGGAGTACTTCTGGACCCGCCAAAAAGGGATCCACCAACACCAGGAGATAACCTGAGCCTATGCTGGCATGGTAGTTCAGAAAATCCATTTGCCAGTAATTCCCAGGAGTGTTTCATCTTTCAGTGATGCCTGGAGGTGATGGTTTTGAATTCAAAGGGTTCTTTTGAAGACATATCAGACATTCCTCTGTAACACACCTGAGAATTTTCTCCTATGGACACTGAGGATATGAGGCTGCAGACCTGTGCCCTTCACATCAAAGCCCCAGAGCTTTGCTGGTGCTTTTCTCCTTTACAAATTGCAGCATCAGTTGGGGAGGGCCTGACACCTGGTTATTGGGAGTTAACTCTCTTCTACCCACCCAGCCACCCTCTTTATTGTGTGCTTCTAGATAAGCAGCCAATTTTCAATCTGCCCAACTCTATCCAGGCCTCACCTCTGGGGCTGAAATTCCTTTCTCAGGAATTAACACCAGGATGCTTTGTTGCAGAACCTCTCATGCAACTTTATTGTAAGTTTATTTCCCACAGGGATTTGTCAGTCCCCAAGCTGGTGTACCCTGGATTCTTGTACAACCACTTCTTTGGCAGCCGGGTGGTAAACAGGACACACAGGGCCTGCTGCTTTCATTGGTACACAAAAAGCTCCAAGGAGAGGAAATCCCACGGGAGATGCAGACCTGAGGAGCATCTTTAAGTTACCGAATGCCTGTCCTTCCACAGGAGTCCAAACCAAGGTCATTCTGGGGCCTCATATTTGAGGGGGCCTTCAGGGCT